CTAGAAAGCCTGTGCTTGCTACCAGGAGCCACATCTGTACCTGGGAAAACTGGCTGCTTTTGTGCCAGTATTTCTACCCCAAACCCAGAAAATTCTCGAAATCTCCCGGCTGAGAGAACAGGGACAGCTTTTCAAATGTTTTGTTCACTTCCACTTAAAATTCAACCGGAGTATCTAAATTAGGAATGCTGCTACATTCCAGCTCAGAGAGCTGCAGTGCTCTGTTACAAAGAGGGGCTCCATCTCCTCCTTGTCATCCAGAACCCTGTCCTGGATCACCTGGTCCATTTGCCTAGGTGGAAAGATCGGTAGGGGGCCCATGTTGTACCCTTCCTTCTGTGTCTGGTACAGCATGGAGCACCATGTCAGCGATGCACTAATACACAAGAATAATCAGCTCATCAAATCAGCTTCATTAGTTGGAGCTCAAGAGCACAGCTCTGCTGCCCAGCCCTGCAGACACGCAGCCTGCCTCACCACTCCATCTGCTACAGCCAAGCAGGAGGGGTCTGCCCATTCGGCTGTTCACACAGAAGTGCAAAAGCCCGGGACACTGGGGGTACTCAGAGCATGTGCCATGTTCCTGCCTGACACATGTCACCAGGGAACCACTGCTCCTCTCCTGTCTCTCATATGGAGACCAAATCCAGCTCCAGAGTGCCAGCAATGAAGCCGCTAGAACGAGGTTTTAGGCCACTAATGATTTCCCTGGGTTTTGGGGGGAGAGGAGCGGAGTCTGGTCCAAGAGGTCTGCCTCACATCCTGATCACAATGCGGACTCCTGGAGGCCACTGCACGCTGCTGGTGGGTGGCTGAGCACTGGGGACCCTCTCTGTGTGACAGGAGAGGCGAGAGGTGGCAGTGCAGAGGCTGCTGGAAGGTGGCTCATCTCCATAGCAGGCTCAGGGCTTTGTGGTTCCTGGATGTCGCTAGCAGAGGAGCAGAGCATCAGCAGGTCACGAGTTTCACAGATTTCACTGCTTGGAATTTCTGAGTGAGAGTATTTATGGATAGCTCTGGAGTTATTTTTACAGGAATGGCTCTGTAACTAAGCACTTCAGAAAAAAATCAGGCCACCATGTAAATGAAAAGGCAGGTGAAGGGGCTTCACTTGAGTGTATCCAGCTTGGAAAGGGATGGGTGTCAGCCCCTAGCAGGTGCTTGCTATGAAAACCCCCAGGGCTGGTTGTCTTCACAAAAGCTCTTCCTCAAACAATGATGAATAATAAATCATGTGTAAATTTCTCAGTCTTTGGTATTGCCAAGGGTCTGTGCCGAAGTATCTGTTGCTTACACTGAAGTTCTCTCTTTCTTTCTGTATATTTTTAGCATGGATGGAGATACAGTCTCAGAAAATGTAATGACATGTGACATGCAGGATTCATACGTATCTAGGCAGTATGGGAATGTACCACGTAGGAGGAGATGTAACATACTGCTTGGCTTCTAATACCCATTACTTAAGCACAATAAGGTGCCTTATGGAAGCAGATAAGGGGGCTCCCCATGGAGCCTAAGCATTAGAAGACATATGTTTATCCCATACCTGTATTCTCTCTCTGCTTTATGTCATTACATTTAAGCTACTTCATGCAATGTTGGCTGATGGTTTTTACTAGCTTGTCAGATATGCTCTGGGAGACCACCTTTAGAAGATGATCAGTTTTCACAAGAAAACAACTATCTACTCGATTCCACCTCTCCCATGTCACTAACAAATATCTGCTAATGAGTCCAGCCTGATACCAATGTAATCCTATGGCAAATCGTCTAAATTCAAGAGAATTTCTCGGCTGATTTTAGGACAGTCAAAAGGCATTGTTCTGTCCTGGAGTTACCTCTGTAACTTTAACAAGATGAGACAGTGAAGTTTTGCCTTGTAAGTGGTTCTAACAAAATGGGTTTTTTCCCAAAAAAAAAAAAAAATAGCATGTTTAAGGAAGCATTTAATGTCCACAATATCTCTGCTACTGAGAGGAAGTGTCTCAAACAGAAGGGATCAGCCTCTTGCCTCCCTTGTTTTCACATTGCAACCTAGTTTTAACAGAAGCTGCAAATGGATACAGAAAAGGACTGCTAAAGAATCTTAATATCATAGTTCAAGCAGAACTGCCTATTTTCCTAACTAAGGTTTGAATTGCATTGTAAAGATAGACACTGGAACGGTTGACAGCTTTAACAAGAAAACTGTGACTGCAATCCTAGTGCAAACCATACATCTTGTGAGATCAAGTGGAATGCTCTGTACAGATGCCAAAAGGAGCTGAATGTTTAAAGCCTGGGGTTTTTTTATTAGTAGTTAATGGTGTATATGTAGCACTGAAAAGATCATTTGACAGCACATCAGTCTTGCCAGATACATGAGTAAAAGGAAACTCAAAACACCCACATTTGTGTGGGGTCTTTTTCGTCTGAAATTTGAAGAGGAAACAACCTACCGACTGCGAACTCTGCTGAACTAGATGGAAAGACTGCCATTGATTTCCATGGACTTTAGATCAACCAGAAGGACAGAAAGCAAAACGCGTGCTAGGATGTTTCCTTGGTTATTTGCCTGTCCTTTTAAAATCTATATGTGACATTTTAAAGTTCAGGTGTTAAAAAAGGAATGATAGCTTCATGAAGGGTTTGTCAGTGAACTGCAGAGTTTAGAAGGCTGTTAAAAATATGAATATAAATGTCTCTGTGCGTATACACTACAGGGACAGAATTTAATTTAGCTGGAGCTGGTGGTACCTGACACTTTCTGCTATGAGAGCCTGTTTTCAGTTTTGTATAATTTTGCCAAGTTTTAACCATTCAGTGTCTACCTCACACTGAATATTTTGCATCTCTTGATTCCACCAGCAAGGTGATGAAAAGCTACCCAGTACTGCAGAATGGAGAAGGCAATCAGGGGATCTGGCCACAGGGGAGAGAGAGTAAGTGACAGCAGGAGAAGCATGCACATGGACAAAGGAGGGGACAAAGTGAAGTGGAAGGTAAATCAGATGGGGGCAGCCAGACATAAGAGAGAGTGATGGGATGGGGTTAAGGGCTAAGCCAGCAGGAGAGGCAGCCTGGGAGAGAAACACAGGAAAGGTTGAGGAATAAAAGACCCCCAAAGCAATCTGAGCAGTAAATCCTTGAATCATGCATTCATCTTCTTTGGGTTTTTGTGGTTTTTTCTTTTTCCCCCGGGCTAAAGAAAATGATTTATGCAGCACCAAGCATAAGGGGGCCCCATTCTCCACTGGCTGGTAAGCATTGCTGTGAGGAACACAACGGCAGCAACAGCAAAGGCAGGAGATGCCTGTTGTCATTTTGAAAGCCCTGAGAATGACTCACTGGTCAGACTGCTCCCAAGAAGAAGAGTTGCTTATTGCAACTGTTTGCTTTCTTTTCCTGTCGAGATTGCAGTTTTTATATTCATTTTCCAAGCACTAGGAAGAGGCTACAGGACTACAGAAGTAGGCAGAAAAGCTGATAAAGAGCGAGCAAGGGCAGGGAGTTGTGAACAAAGGCATACAGCAAAGAGGGAGACAAAGCACAGATGAGGAATGAGAGCAAGTGAGGAGATGCAGAGAGGGGAAAAAACACCAGACAAAAAGCCATACAACAAAATCTCTCAGCATTTCTAACTCTTCCCCAATGTATGTGTATGATCCTTGTGCAAACACTTACTCCCAGAGGAGCTTCATCTTGTGGGCACAGGGATGGATGCAGAGTCAGTAGGAAGGATATGTGGAGAAGTAGATGATTAGACATCAGTATGACAAAAGATGTTCTCTGCTACACCACATCAGTAGAAATGCTTGAAGAAAGTCCAAGCTCCTGTGTTCTCTCTCACTGCTACATTTAAAGCTTGATGCCTGGAAATGCAGCACACATTTCCTTGTCCTCTGACCCTGGGACCAGAAGCCAGCCCTACCTGAGGCACGATTAAAGCTTTCCATGTTCCCATGTTCCACTGGCACACTGCACACCATTTCTGTGGAGTTGTTTACATGAGGTCCTGCTAACATGCACTCTCATTCTTGAGCAGCCTGTGCCTGTGTGTTCCTGATCCATTGATTAATGGTAAGATTATGCTTGTGGTAGCTGCCAGGTTGCACTGCTGCTGGGAGACAGCGTGTAGGCAAGGTGTACCCCTTGCTCCAACTGCATGTACCCATTGCAGGCATTTCTGTAAGGGAGGCTATTTTGGAAGCGCAAGGAATCACAAGATTCCAGAACAAATGTCTCCAGGAGATGTTGCTCTTCTCACATCTCTTCCAAAGGAGAAAAAAGAAAAGGAGAAGGTAGAGGGAGACTTCCAGACAGCCCCACTAGCTTTTGCAGATGAATTCTTTTAACAAATGAAGCCATCTCACAGCATCAAATTTGCACACAGGTTACACCAAGTTTTTGGGCATGTCTCTGTTCATAGCTGCCTGGCAAGGAATTTGGGAAAAAAAGAGAAACATGTGAAAATGCTATCCTAGACTTGCCAGTAAATGGGTTATTTGGAGTTTTGGCTAATCAGTTTCTGTGATGGATGTCACCCAGTCTTAATGGCATTGTCTCTGTGCATGCCACAGTATAGAAAAAAAATTGGTTTATTCTATTTTTTCCCTGTTTCACACATATTCCATAAACATTTGATGGGTCTTGAAGTGTGAGGGTTTTTCAAATGGCTGCAGAAGCCCTTCTAAGGCTAATTTTTCCATGTGAATATTTACTTCCTATAAATGTCCCCATCCCTCTGATGGATGCAATCATCTGCGGCAGTCAGGCTGCTTAACAAAGGACAGGACCCTAAGTGATGACCAAGAGGAGAAGAGAACACAAGGATGCATGAGTGGAGTGGACCAAGGGAGCCAAGCCAAGCACGATGATTGCTGTGTTTTAAACACCCCGCAGCAGTGAAGAGGTTATTGCTTCTCCTGTTGTCTCAGTCTTCCTTCCACAGACAGTCTGGTGATTACAACCACCACCACCACCACCACCTTGGGAAGTAAATAAGGTCCAAAACACCAGCAGAGGGAATCAGTAGTTTTTATTCACTAAAACAAGTGTTGCTTAAAAAATGAAAAAAGAAAAATGAAAAAAAAAAAAAAGGAAAAAAAAAGCTGTAGTCACACAGCTGTAGTCTGGTCTCCCACGTTTCAGCTGTTCCCTCTGTCCACAGGCAGAAGTAATGCGTCACTTTCTGAATTGTTTCTTTAAAGAAAAAACAACCCAAATCAGTTAATCAACAGCAGCAGTGATGCCGCCTGGGAGCGGTGGGCTCTGCTCCAGGCAGGAGGCACAGCATGGCCCCTAGGAACGGCCGCAGGTAGGAGCTGCGAAGCTCGGGGCTGCTCGGAGCACGGCAGCCCCGCAGCGAGGATCTGTCCTGCCCAGCCGGCTCCCGGCTGGAGCGGGGCTGCTCTGCCGGATTCGGGAGAGGCTCGGAGCCCGGCAGGTTCCAGCAGGCTCTGGAGCCCCGGCGCCACAGCCCGGCCACGGACAGGGCAGGAAAATGCTGCGTTCCCCGGCAAGACGCACAGGATTTCCTGCAGCGGGTCAAGAAAACATACCTTCCCATTGTCCCCGCCATGTCACGGGGAGTCCTTGTGCTCCGCTGGGGACAATGTCAACTCCTACCCTGGCAACCGAGGAAAACAAGGACGCTTGTTTGGCACTTTGCGCCAAGCTGCCGCCCGCCTCCCTCAGCAGCCGGGCCTGGCACGGGCAGGGACGGCCGCCCTCATGGCCGCTAATGAGCCTCCCTCCCTGGCCGTTGGTTGGCCCCGGGGGTGGAAAATCTGTGGCAGCCCCAGGGAAAAAAGTCTCAACTTAAGACAAACAACTGTTTCTGGGGGAGGCGGCGAGGAGCAGACTGCATCCAGCCCTTCCGAGCGCCGTGCTGGTTCCTGCCCTCGGCCAGGAGCTGGGCTGGGCAGCCAGCGGGAGCCTGGGCAGCATTTCGGCCGGGGCTGTGCCCAGCTGGGTCCAGTCGGGCAGAACTGGCCCCGAGGCACAGGGCTGGGCTGTGTCGCACCCTGCAGCGTGCCCGGGGCAGCCTCAGCACCCACACCTCTACCACCCCGGTAAACTGCAGGGTGAGCTTCCTACTGCCCTTCCCTGGTGCTCAGTGTATTCAACCTTACTGTTGCCTTTTGCCTACTCTAAAATCCTTTTATTGTTTAAATGTCAGCCACAGAGAGGAAACGGCAGTCTTACGTTCATGCAAAGCCCAGGACTCGGTCTTTCCATGGGCGCCGAAGAGTACAGAAACGCGACATGCCATGCTGGGCGCCCGGGAAGTGGCACAGCCCTGGCCAGCACACGTGCCCCGGGCACTCCGAGTCCCAGCCCCGTCCTGGCCGCCTCAGAGCCCCGTGAACAGAGGTCAGGGAAGGCTCAACTTTGATACTGTTGGGCTGGCACAGCTCCAGGATGAAAGGCACTATTTGCTTCCTATACTGCTTTCGTGAACCTGTATTTACTTTTTGTAGTAACACCAAGCCAGCAAGTGCAGGATGAGACAGAGCACCCTGGAAGGCAGTGGCAAGGATTGTAAGAAACTGAGCATTTTACAGGAACTTAAATGAAAGAAATTACCATTCTGACCCTTTAAAATAAGGTCATCTTAAAGTATACATGGAAAACATGTAAATCAGCTTAGTGTTAATAGCACACAACCCAATATGTAGGACTTTACCTCTCAGCTCAAGACAGTATTTCAGTTTCTGGCAAAACACAGATTTTCCCTCTCTTTCCAAAAAGTCATTCTGTCCTATGTTTCAGTGCCCCCTAGAATACCAGAACTGTTTACTAATACTAGTTATTTGCTTGGGTAAGGATTGTTAATAAACTTCAGCATAATGGAAGGGTGAAAATACTTAAAATAAAGCCCTAGAGATAGTAGCACATACAAGCCAGGCTCCTAGGCTTCAGAAGTGCCCCTGCCACTAAACCAGGTGCAGACCCAAAGTGCCATGAAATAGAGCAGTGTCCAGAGCTAGTGTTACTGTATGGCAAGATCCAACAGGGTATCACATCAAAGGCTGCCCATTCAAAGAATGAGAAAAAGACATATATAAAGAGATTTTACTGTTAGAGTAAACAATCCCCCCAACAGCTGAAAAGTGTTCGTCCAGGAAGGGGGAACATGTGTCTTTAAATTTATCATAGATAAATGGGCAGAGGGAATAGCAGCCAAGATTTCCTTGTCTGAAAGGCTGAAGCTAATACTGTCATCTGTGGTTAAGACCCATTTGTCAAACAGAGTATGCTGAGAATAAGAAAAATCAAGTCTGCCTTCCCTTTTTAATTTGACTTAATTAGCCATAATTACCTTACTGAAATAAAGGTATTTTCAATTGCTGGACACATTTCTGTGTCCTTACTTTTACTAACGCAAATAACATAGCTCGCACGCAGGGAAAGCAAAAGCCAGACAAATGTGCTGCAAAAACAAGATGCTCCACTACATTCACCTCCTTCCTTGGGAGAGGAGGACAGAACAAACAACACGTGGCAGATGTTAGCCACACACTTCAGTGCCCTACTGGGAGGCATGCAAATAGTATCATGATACACAGGCTGGGAGAAGCTACATAGAAGAAAACAGTGCACTTGTATGTATGTCAGATTTGCCCCTCCATAGCTAGGAGGAGGCATGCACTCATAGCACGGCACAGAGTACATAATGCAATTATAATTGGGTGCAATATGTTCACAGTGCTTAAAAAAAACACTGTCTTAAAAAACTGAGTGCCATGTTCAGATGGCTTAAATTCCCCAAGAGCCCCTGTGCCTACTGCTTCCTACTGGCTGCTTCTGGTCCTTCAGCGGTGCCCAGCCAAGAGGAAACTTCAGGGCACAGATGGAGTTCAGGCTAGACAGTCCATAACCTTCACTGGATCCCGCTGGCATCCTGTGGTGCGAAACCTGCATCCCAGAATTACTTGGAGCATTTGTCCTCCTGAACCCGATGAGCACACTTGCTTAAAATAGGCACATGCAAAGGTGTGGCGGGGCCAGCCTTAGGGCTCGCAGAATTGCTGAGGGGGACTGTGAGCCTCAGAATATCCTTGTAATTCATCTGTAATGTTAAACTTTAAATAACTGTCTTCCTCTTTCATTCCTTTCTACCTCGGCTAAGAAATGCAACACGCACTGTGTAAAGGGACTGTCACCAGCTGTTAATAAGAAAGCAGCTTTATCTTCTCTCCGCTTCTCTTGTTCACACGTAGACAGTGTTGGAAATCAGTGAAAACGGGTGTAGCCCCTCTGCTACGGCCACCACCACCTCCCACAAAGAGAGCAAGTGAGAAAGGGAAGAGGAAAGGTTGAAGAAACGGGCTGACCTACTTAGGTACTGCGAAGGACGAGCATGCAGGCTCTGAGTGCTGGGATGGCTGCGCGCGTTTGTTCTGGGCACCTACTGTTACTCTGGCATTCCTCCAAACAAATGGCTTTACACCCAATTCCAAAACAGCTCCTTCCTCCTCCTCTTCAAAATATGCCCTCCCCACCGTGCATGCTCTCCCTGTGATCCTTGCCGCCTTGGTTTTAAAACGGCCGCTTCCCTGAGCAGGCAGCCAGCCCCTGTCTTCTCACCCACCTGTTAATACCTGGCCTCCTGTTTGTCACATGGCAGCTCTGGGCTCTGGACCAGGAACCCCCCCCTTGCTCCTGTGCCGCAGCCACTGCTTCCGGCATGGGCCACCTGTCCCTCCTGTCTCAGCTGAGAAAGGACAGGACCTAACTGCAGGGTAGGTGGTTGTCAGTGAGCAGCCCCGGCTTGCGAGGAGTGGTATCCAGAAGCAGGAAGGAGAGAGGAGGCAGGTCTCCTTGCTCTTGGGAGCCCTGACTCAGACCCCTTCCCGTGTGTTGCATGCCACCCCCTCTGCTCCGCTGGCTCTGAGCCCCTGAGTGGCATCACTCAAACCCTGCAAGTTAGCCAGCCTGAAAATTATACCCGCTGGGATCTGGCCAGTTTGCAAAGCCTAATATCAGTGATTGCAAGGTGGGATCAACACATTCAGGCAACACAAAGATTGCATTATAAACCCTTTTGGATTTAGATGGCAAATGATCCTTTTGCTCTTCAGACAGTATTTCTGGCAATTCAGAGCAGTCACAATTGCTTGTCAGAACAACCAAAAGTGCTTCCCTGGCAGCACGGCATATCTTACTGAGAGACTGGAAGAACCTTCTTTGGTTTCTATATAAAACACACTTATGACTCATATAGGACTCAGAAATTGTCTTAGTTAGAGATAAATGGGAAGATACACTGCAGATCTGGAGAATGATGCTTGAGTCACAAAGCTAGAACCGTGATCAGAAGGCAAAATTCCCCAAAGTCTGGGGTCTTAGGGAGACAAAAAGGGGCTTGTTTGCATTTACACGCAAGCATTGCATTTGGCATTCCTTCTTTCTTTTTTTTCCTTCCCACTTTCTGACTGAATGTGTTCTGGAGTATTAGAGGTCTTGCAATTCCTTTTGTCTACTCCTGCCCACCCTGTCTTTCTTCATACCAGTGATGTCTCAGAAGCAATTAAAAGCAGTTCCACTGAGTTCCACAATGCCACATCAGCTTCAGTCCTTTACCAAAGAGTACTTAATGACATTATACAAACCACAGTGAAAGATCATTACTAGGGTGACAAAATCAACACTGAGAAATTAGAAAAAGCCACTACTAAGATGGCTTGTGGAGTTGCAGTTTGGCTCCTCTGTGCTTACACATGTTGCAGTCTTCCATTACATGAGCCTAATCCTGCACTCTTTGTCCCACAGAACCCCTGCCTCATCCAGCTCATGGAGCAGGCAGTGCTCAATTAACAAGCAGCTATTTATACTGGGTCTGTGCTCAGTACAAGACCCCATGCCTTGTTCACTGAACACTGCTCAGACTCCAGTGAGATGGAACAATACACTTTCCTGAAGGCTCTGCTGTCCTATGAAGACAGGCTGAGAGAGTTGGGTCTGCTCAGCCTGGAGAAGAGAAGGTCTGGCAGACCTAATAACATCCTTCGAGTATCTACAAGAAAGTTGGAGAGGAACTTTTTTACAAGGGCATGTAGTGATAGGACAAAGGAGAATGGCTTTAAATTGAAAGAGAGTAGGTTTCCATCAGATATTAGGAAGAAAATCTTTACTCTGGGGGTGATGAGGCACTGAAACCAGTTGCCCAGAGAGGTTGTGGATGCCCCATCCTGGAAGTGTTCCAGGCCAGGTTGGACAGGGCTTTGAGCAATGTGGTCCCATGGAAGGTGTCCCCGGACACCTGGAATGAGGGATCTTTAAGGTCCATTCCAACCAAAACTATTCTGTGATTCTAGTGTACTTACCAATGTTGCATCAGTGGGCGTCATTTCAATTACACCTTTTGGAGATGAGAAGGTGGAATTATTCCCATTTATAGATGGTGGATTATACAGGGGGATTAGAGGGTTCCAATTCTTCAAGTTGACCCCTGTGGGGTTCCTGGGCTTTCTGTGCTTCACACACAGGCTTCCACCTGCATGTGAAAGTTTGGTACTTCTACAAAAATACTATAGTAGGCACTTTTATCCTCTATTCACTGTGGAAAATTTGTTTTCAATGATTTGCCTTATATAATGTAGGATGTTCTGGAGCTTTTTGGGATTTCCTTCATATAGAAATATTTGCCAAAAATAGTAGTGACAAAGACATTCTCTCAGTAAAATTTTTACAACTCTTGCATGATAGTTTCCAGAACAGCTGATTTTAAAATACTAATCTCTTTAGGAGTAATTTAATATACCCTTCAGTTATTTGTACATTGAAAAGAACTTTCATACCTTAGTTTGATACTGATATGTTGCTGTACTCTTTCCCGAGTAGAATGAAAATATTAATTGTTTCTGCATTATTAACAGGGTTGGCATCCCCCCTCTTCCCCAATAATAGGCTAATGCTAATTTCTTTAGCTTCTACTATATTAAATAGAATTTTCTTGACCTCAGTCTGCTGTTTCCCCTGCTCTTTGAATCTAATTTGTTTTTTTTTAAAAATTGTTGGGTTATAATGCTGCCTTTTGGTCTCTCTTGCCCTTCCATTTGCATTTTTTCCCCTGAGAGAAGACTCCTCTCTGCCTTGCAAACAGGGTGAGTTGTCAGGCAAATCTGCCTTCTTTTTCTTAATTGTGAATGCTTGACCACTTGACCATATAATGACCTCTGTATTCTTACACATTCTTCTTGGTGTCTTTGCAAATTTTTACTCCTAGCTTTCCTCACGTTTCTTATCACCCTGAGGTATT